CACAGGAGTGCGAAACGCGTCGCTCCGACGCCGAAGGTTTTGCGTGCGGCGGCTCGCCGTCCGTTTCTCGCGGAACGCCGGTCGACCTCGGGCGACGACCCGACGACGGTCGGCCGATCCGCGCGGCGATACCGAGACGATGCGGTTCGCGCGGAGACCTTTCGACGCGGAACGTACGCGACTCGAATTCGACACGCCTTCTGGCGCGTCCCGGTCGGGGCGAAAAAAGTTTTGCGTGCGAGAATCGGATCGAAGAAGGAGTGCTTCCCCCCTTCGGAGACCCCGAGTGCTCGAAGCTTCGAGCCTTCGACGGGCGACGGGCGACGGGCGACGGGCGACGGGCGACGAGCCCGACCCCAACCGCACGTCGTCGGGGCTGCAGACCGTCGATGCGTGGCGGAGGCGCGGCGTCGCGCGTCCGCGCTCGTCGTGCCGTCCCGAGAGGAGCGGGAGATCGCGGACCGAGATTCCGACTCCGGGTCGGACCGTGGAGTTCGGTCGGCGCGAGAGTCGAGAGGGATCGTTCCTCTCGGGACCGGACGGAGTCGGACGGACGGGCGAATGCGGCGCGCGATCGCACGGATCGGAGAAGCGGCCGCGGAGGACGTCGGCGGCGCGTCCCGACGAAGAGGACGCCCTCCGGGATTCCTTCGGCTCGTCGTCGCGCGAGGCCGGAGCGGGCCCGAGTCTCTCGCGGACCGGATTCCACGGATCCTCGCGGGACGTTCCTTCTTCCTCGACGACGAGAGGACGAAGAGAGGACGAAGCGGGTGGTCTCGCCCGTCCGTCCGAGGACGGAACGGATCGGATCGCGTCTTCCCGGCCGGCGTCGCGTCTCGAGGGCGAGACCGTCGCGGTCGCGAGGACGAGCCGGAGTCCTCGAGGTCGCCGGTGGGGTGTCCGGAAGGCAGAGGGAGGGCGCCTCCGTCCGACCCGTTCTGCGAGGTCGAGGCGAAACTTTCGGCGACGGAACCGTTCCGTCGACGTCGCTCGCAGGCGGAGACGGGGTTTCGTCTTCTCTCTCGGCGTTTCGGAGACGAGACGGACGCCGAGACGGATCGCGCCCGTTCGAGAGGCGATCTTCCGACGCCCGCAGAGGGAGTTCGGGGACGAAGGTGCGACTCGAGGGGGTGTCGGTATCGGAGAGGAACGAGAGGAGTTTTCGTCGCGTTTCGGGGAAGAGGTTTCTTCGACGTCGCCATCGAGTCGCCAAACGATTGCGAGAACGCTTCGTCGTCGCCGACGACGGATCGCATTCGGCGTTTCGAAACGCCTCCGGTATTTAGGGGGCAATCTTTTCGAAGGAGGACGGCCGGATCCGAGGGGATCTTGCCCGATCGCGTCCCGCGACGAAACCGGTGCCGACCGATGGAGCACCTCGAACGGTGCGTAAGCGCGAACGGTCGCGCCCCGATCCGCAAGAGGGCGAAAAAAATCGGGCAACGTGCGGAGTCGTCGGCACGTCGCCGCTCCGTTTCGAACGGTCGTCGTTTTTCGAGAGACGGTCGGATGCCGCTCGCGTTCGATCGAGAGGTTCGCGAGTCGAAGAGGCCATTTTTCGTACCGCAAGTCGGTGCCGCGTTGCGATCGAGGGCGCCGACGTCCACCGCGTACCGACCCGTCGGTTCCGGTGCGTCGAGTCGGCCGTAGGATGACCCGACTCTCACGAAAAGGAGAAAAGCGAGCAACGGACCCACTTCCTCTTCTCCCTCCTTCCCACCTTCCCCTCTTCTGTCGTTCTTTCGATTCGCGTCACGCTCTACCGTCGTTTTCCGTTTCGACGCGATTTCTCGTCGCGTGCGCACCGTCCTTCGCGTCCACGTTTTCCTTTCTCTTTTCGACCGTTTACGGAGCGATGATCCTTTTCTTCCCCGAACCGATCTCTTCGATTCGTCTCTCCGGAGCCCGATCGCCCCCCGAGCTTCCTCTCCTCCTCCGGATCGACCGGTCGGGAGGAAAGAGAGAAGCTCAGAGAAGCTCGGCTCTCGCGAGGACGATCCCATCGCGACTTCCAGCGATGCGGATCCTGGTCTCGAGGTCGACCGCTTTCCTGGACCGAATTCGTCTCGATCGCCGGGTGTTCATCGTCCGACGGAGGGGGGCGAGGAGGAAATCCCCCCGGTGGGAAGCGTTCGGTCGATGGAACGCCGGTAAACGAGCAGGAAACGCAGTGTCGACTCCGAGGACCGGACGGAAGAGACTCGTGGGATTCCCTCCGATTCTCTCGGATTCCCCCCGATCCTCTCGGATTCCCCCCGATCCTCTCGGATTCCCCCCGATCCTCCCGCTCGCGTCCGAGAGACCGAGGAGTCGCGCCGTTACTTTCGGAACGGGAAGCGGCGGCGTTCGTGCACTTGCGAATCGTCCGCGATCGTAGCCTGCTCGTCGGAGGAAAGAGGCGCGCGCGAAGGAGCGATGCGCCACGTCGCTGCGGTCCCCCTCTCGGGCTCGTTCCTCGAACCGCCGTCTTCGGGGCGAGAAAGAAACGGAATTCCCGGATGCCTCCCGTCGCGAGGAACGCACGCCGACCGGGACGTTTTCGGGCACCGTCGCGAGAGCGTCGAGAACGAAGTCGCCGGAACGAGAGCGACGGCAGCAGGAGGCTTCGGAGGAGGCTCTTCCGCCCGAAGGACCCGAGTTTTTCGTCTTTCCGCCGGCGAAGGTGGGATCCGGGAGGGTCGAAAGCGGAGCACCTCGTCTCGATCTCGGATCGTGCCGCGCCGCGTTCCTCGATCTCGAGTCTCTTCCCTCGTCGCGTGAAGATCCGACTCGCCGCACGCTTAACGCATCGACCGAGATCCTCGACGGGATGGGCCGAGTCGGCAAAAATCGCTCTTCTCGTACGGTTGGGACTCCCGACCGCATCCGGTATCTCTCGTCGTTTCGGTTCGGAATGCGCCGGAGCGGTTCTGGATTTCCTCGTCGAAATCCAGATCCAGGTGGTTCCGGATCGAAGAGGGAAGAGCGAGGAAGAGGTTCTCGCCTGGTCACGGGTCCACTCGGGGTCCACCCGGGGTCCACTGCGCTAAACACGCGGATCGTCATCGCGAAAACCCGATTCGCCACACTCTTCCGCGACCGAACTCTCTCTCTCTTTCTCTCTCCTCTCTCGTGTCACGGGGAATCGATGCCACTCGACTCGCGACCGCGAGTGGATTTATCCCTCCCCATCCGTGCAAGAAAAACGTTCGTCGTTTCTCGAGACGACCCGGAAGAGATTCCTCTCTCGATCCCCGACGAGAAGTTCCGCGTCTGCACGCGTCGCGACGGAACGACTCGTCTCGGATCGACCGTCGATCCGTCCGACGGCTCGAGATCGCATCTCGAATTCGCGACGACGGACGGCGGGTCGAGTGGATCCCTTCCGAGGAGACGATCGAAGCGATTAAAACTCGAGGACCCGTGGTCGCGACGATCGTCGTCTTCCGAGTCTCGAACGTCCGTCCGTCTCCTAATTAAATCCAGAGGCGAGAGAAAGAGAGAGAGAGAGAGAGAGAGAGAGGAATACGAGGACTCGCTGAAAGCCGATCTTTCGATCCGGAATCGAGAAACGTTCGGATTTCGGGAGATCCCTCGTCCNCCCCCCCCCTCCCCCCCCCCCCCGTGGAATTCCCATTCGAGGCCCCTAAGGACGCGACGCGACGCAAGCTTACGGTTAGCTCTCCCGAAGAGAGTCTCGGGGGTGGAACGCGACTCGCCGAGTCGAGTGGGAGGGTCGAAGAGGTCAAAGAGGTCGAAGAGGTGAAAGAAGTGAAAGAGGTGAGACGAATCCCGTCCGAACGCGCCGACGCCATCCGCCATCCGGTGGCGAAGCGGCAGGGTCGGCTCGAGAGACCGTCGGGACGGGTGCAGGCGGAGCCCGCGTCCGGCTTCGCGCGATCCCCACGAACGCGCTTTCGATCCTCGCCCGCGAACGAGATCGTCGACGGTTCGAGGAACCTTCGCGTCCTCCGTCTCTCTTCGCTCTCTCTGCACCGAAACGCGAATCCTCGAGCGACGAGATCGCGGAGAGTCCGGCCACGACGAGCCGGAAGGGGAAGGAAACGTTAGACGGGCGGTGGGCCACGCGGTCCCGTCCGGGCCAAGCGGCTCTGCTCCGCCGGAGCACCCGACGACGAGCCGCATCGAGAATCGCTGCGGCGCGGGAAAATATTCACGATAAAAAAACCGGTGGAAACTGCAACAGACCGGCGAAGACGATCGCGGCTCGGTGCGTTCGAACGAGTGACGTAAAAAAACAGGATTCTTCGAACGAAGAGTGTCGACTAAATGGTCGAGTTCGTTTTCCGGCGCGAAAGGGGATGGAGAGTTCGGCCTTCTCGCGAGGTACGGACGCGCGAACGCACGGAAGAGCACCGAAGTGCACCGAAGTGCGCACTCGCGATGCGACTCGTCCGCCGTCGCGTCTCTCTCCCGTCCCCGAATTCGCGCGGGGAGCGGAGGGACGCGTCTCTCGAACGCTGCGCGATCCCGGGAATTCCCCCGTTTCCGGAGGAAGTCGCGCCGCTCCGAGGAACGGACGTCGCCGGACGGGTGCGAGATTCCGACGGAGATCTCGAGTCTGCCTCGGTTTTCGTCGGGAGCGAAAACGGGACCGGGTGGTGCCGGACGACCCCGAGACGATTTTTTTTTTCTGCGGTCGAGCGCGCCCAGGGATTCCATCCTTCGTAACGTTTCGCCACCCGCCCCCTCCCCCCTCCCCTCCGACTCTCGGAGTGCCTTCTCGAGTCGTACTCTCGACTCGATGGTTTTACGTTCGCGGTCCGAAAGTCGGTTTCCGAGCTCGCCTTTCCGACGTTCGAACGTCGCGAGGAAAAGAGTCGGGGAAAGAGTCCGGGACGTCGCGTTCCGAGCCCGGACGGAGGGGGACGAAGGGGGACGAAGGGGGACGAAGGGGGACGAAGGGGGACGAAGGGGGACGAAGGGGTACGAATTCCGTCTCGCTCTCTTTCCGTTCGGTCCAGAAAGTGGACGCCTTGCGGGTGGAGATGCCGGACGAAATGGGGTCGGAGCACGCCGAATCCAAGGAATCCGTCCCGGGTACGATCTCTCTCCCGTCTCGTTCGTCCCGTCGCGCGTCGTGCGAACCGTGACGATTCGACACCCCTCGTAGGTGAAAACGGGGAAGCCGGCGAGTTCGATCCTCATTGCGACCCGGATCATCCTCAGATCCTCTCTTTCGACAGCATCCCGGCCGCCTACGTCCGCATCAAGGACGGCATCGCCTACACTCCCTGCACGGTACGCGTCGCTCCCCGTCTTCCCTCTCGCCGTTCCTTTCCTTTTTTTTTTTTAACCTCGCCTCGTTCCGCTCCGAGCAGAAGTCCAACCTGTCTTCCCTCGTGGACATGGAATTATTCTTCAAGAAGGAGTTCCTCCAGTTCACCGGCAGGCGAGTCTCCGTCCGTCCGCCGCGGACGTCCCTCCCGAGACCTCCTTTCATCCTCTCTTCCCTTCGACGCGCAGCTTCAAGGAGAGAGGGGCGAGGAACACGTTGTTGCAGCTGTCGGAGGAGCAACGGCGGGCCGGGGTCATCGCGGCCTCTGCGGGCAATCACGCCCTCGCCCTCTGTTACCACGGCAAGGACCTCGGCGTTCCGGTCACCGTCATCATGCCGACCGTCGCACCCATCATGAAGGTATCCTTCTCTCCCGTTTCCGTCGCTTTTCCTCCGGGAGCGATCGCTCGATCCTCCCCTCTCGCCGGCGAAACCCTCGTCGCGACCGCGAGGATCGTCGAAGACGTCGTTTCGTCCGATCGGTCTCGAACCGTCGCATCTCGTGCACCGTGAACGCATCGGGTGTTCGTTGGACGATCCGACAGGTCCAGATGTGCAAGAACCTGGACGCGACGGTGATCTCCTACGGGGATAACCTCGGGGTGTCGAAGCGGAGAGCCCTGGCCATGGCCAAGAGAGACGGTCTCGTCTACGTCAACGGGTGAGCATCCGAGTCCAGACGCGACGACCGAGCCGATTCCTTCCGACCGTCACAGAATCCAACCGATCGCGACGCGGCCTCCGACCGTACAGAAAAAGTTTCAACATGTTCAAATTCAAACCGGTGAATCGACGGCGATTCACCGGTGAATTACTGTTGAATCACTGGTTTTCAACGTCTATTCAACAGGGATTCAACACTATTCAACATTGAGTTATAATTATTATAATATATTATGAATAATTTATTTAAAG